AACAAAAGCCATCTGAGCGCCGCAATGCGCCGGGGGCCTTGGCGGAGAGGCCGGAGGCCTCTTCAAATGAAGCCTCGGCAAGGGCGCCCCCGTCCGACGAGAGCTAGCTGCCGACGACGCCTGCGCCTCGCCCTCGCCCTCAGCGGGGCGCGCGCGCCTCCTTCCAGCAGGAGCGGCAGAAATCGCGGTTCTTCGAAGCGTCGGGGCGCGGGAGGCCCATCTCCTCGAAATTCTTCCAATCCGAGCCCAGGGCCCTGGCGCGCGCGCCCGCGCGGTGCAGCACTGCGCCCGATCGACGCGAAGTAGCCCTGGGCGCCCCCGGGCAGGTTGCGGGCGCAGGCCCGCCCTCTCGCCGACGAGGGGCGCGGCGCAGCCGTGAACTCAGCATCTCGGTGCTTCATGGGCGGGGGCAGGGTCGGCAGCAACGGCGAAGAGGTATCTCCAGGAAGACCCGCCGCGGGCGCGAGTCGCTCGCTGCCGGCGCGGCCCCGCCCAAGATGCCCGCGTCCTTGGTGGGCGGGCCCAGGGTGCCATCGCCGCCTGCTCGCCCATGCCGCTGTCGCGGACATTCTGGCCCAAGGCCGCAAGAGTGACCTCCTCGTCGAGCGCGTCCGCCTTGCCGTGCTGGATGGTTTCGGCCCTGCGCGTGGGCCCAAAATGTAGGACTCGGAGTCGTCGCCCTGCCAGCGGCCCAAGACGTCCACCCACTCCTTTCAGAAACCCAAAAGCGTCGCAGCACTAGGCATCGACGATCTCTCAGAGCGCTGCCCCACGGACTCCTCGTCGAGAACCTTCTGCGGGGGGGGGGGCGCCCCAGCCACCGCCAAAGTCGCCAGAAATGCTCCTGACAAGGCGGCGCACTCGCGGTACTTCACCTCCTTGTTCACAACCCCCGTGCAGTCCAGGAGCGGGGCAGCGAGGAAGCAACCACAAGCCCGCGCCCACCGACAACCACATGGGCATCCCCAGCAAGGCCACCGTAGAAATCGTGAACGGGAGGACTTCGTTGGACTTGTCCACGAGCGTCGCGAAAAGACCTCGCTCAATGAACGAGCTCTGACCAGAAATCCAATCCCCTGTGGTCATCAAAACGTAGGAGCCCCCCAGACCTTGTACAGTTTCCAGAAGGCCAGCATGCAATTGTGCACCTCGACGGCCTGGTCGATGACCAAGCGCTCGAGGGCGATGATGATACTGATGATGATGATGCTGATGATGATGGTGCTGATGATGATGCTGCTGCTGATGCTGATGATGCTGATGCTGATGCTGATGATGATGATGATGCTGATGCTGATGCTGATGCTGCTGCTGCTGATGATGATGATGATGATGATGACGATCACAAGTGGACGAGGCGCTTTGCGACGAACCCCTGACGAAGGCATCTCTCCCTGCGCCATCGCCTCGAGGACGAAGCTCTTGACCGTGGGGTCCGATGCGAGCATCTCCCGAGGACGGACGCCGCCTTTGTCAAGAAACCCGATGGCCTCCACCGCGGCTGTGAGAAGCGTGCGCCCGCACGGCTCCTCCGAGCGCACCTGCAGGCTGCAGGTGCTCCGAGATGTCTCCCACATTCCGTGGGAAGGCGTACCCCTTCCGAGCCATCCAGAGCGACCTCCCCTTGAGGAGGTCGCGATGTTTATTCTCTTCTCCGACGTTGTCGCCCGGCGGCCCTGGGCGACAGTGCGGAGCAGAGTGAGTGGGGCGACTGGACCTTTGGGCAACCGTCTCGTCGGCAGGCCCGCCCCCGAGGCGAACTCGACAGGCAAGGACACGTGCTTCTCCCGCTCCTCCTGCACAGTTGCCTCCCGGCCTCGTGGGTCCAGTGTCGCATGGGTGCTCGCCGGAGCTGGGGAGGGCCACGCCACGCGTGGCCTCGCTCGAACCCGCTGGAGGCGTCGCCGCCAACGCAGTCGACGATGGCAACTTCACGGCCTTGACCTGCTGGAGCCTCGCCCGCTTGACGCCCATGGCACTGTTGGCCTCGGTGTCCCCAAACGACGCCATGCGCCGCATTGGGACCGCACTACGCTTCACAGCTGCGGCCCTGATAGCAACGAGGTGCTCGGCCGAGGACTCCACCTCGCCAGGGGGCAAGCTGGGGACGAACGACCTCACGAGCTCCACCGCCTCCGGGACGTCCCCGTCCTCCAGCAAGCCACAGGCGACTTTGGGGACGTCAGCTTCTGCGCGCTCGCGAGTGCGAGTGCAGCCGGTTCCGCCTGGCGCCAGAAAGCCGCCCATGCCGCCGGCCAAGCCATTGCTAGCGACCGGCAGGGCCCTGGCGTGACCCGGAAGGGGTGGGAGATTCGTTACGTTTCTCCTGGTACGCCGAGCCTGTGAGTCAAAAGTGCACTGGCTCGGGCCAAACGCTGCAGCATGCAGCGTGCCTGCTCTGGCAAGGGACGAGTCCCCTGAAGGGAGAGGGAGAGGGATGGAGGAGGAAGGATGAGCTTAGGGTCTAGGGGGGGTCAGGGCGGACTCGCAGGAGCTGCACCCTGGAACGATTCTGCGGAGCACCCCCCGGAATCTACGAGAACGCCCCCCTGCCCCCCAAGCTTCTCTCCACCCTCTTCCCCCTGCCCCTCCCCCCGGAAAGGCCACTCGCCCCTCCGTCCGCCAGCCGGTCCCTACCCCCGCCTCCTCGAGGATCGAGGGCACCATGTGCTCGACCTCCCTGCAAGAACCCCAGGGAGCCAGCCTCACACAGAGACAGCCGGGGACCTCCTCAGACCCCCAGGGGCCCCGCAAGGCCTCCAGGTCCAGGGGCCCAGGCCTCTGGCGCGCCGAGCAAGAGCAGCGCCTGGCGCCTCGCAAAGGGCTGGCGTGGTCTGCAACAGGCACCCTGGGGAGCACCCTGGGGGGCACCTGCCGATCGCAAACCACACCCCGGCGTCACCACACCCTCCGTAGTCGCCGACTCCTGTTCCACAGCTGCCGGCGTCCAGCCCCGGGGCCACGAGAAAGAAGCACGGCATAAGCCAGAGCGGCCCCGAGGGAGTCGAAAGGCCCATGGGCACGCGACTCGAACATCAAGTCGTCGGAGGTCTGGACCCTCCGTCCTCCTCCTCCTCCTCCTCCTCCTTCTCATCATCATCATCATCATCATCATCATCATCATCATCATCATCATCATCATCATCATCATCATCATCATCATCATCATCATCATCACATCATCATCATCATCATCATCATCATCATCATCATCATCATCATCATCATCTCATCCTCATCCTCATCCTCATCCTCATCCTCATCCTCATCCTCATCCTCATCCTCATCCTCATCCTCATCCTCATCCTCATCCTCATCCTCATCCTCATCCTCATCCTCATCCTCGTCCTCATCCTCATCCTCGTCCTCATCCTCATCCTCTTCCTCCTCCTCCTCATCATCAGCCTCATCATCCTCATCAGCCTCATCCTCCTCCTCCTCCTCCTCCTCCTCCTCCTCATCGTCATCATCGTCATCATCATCATCCTCATCCTCATCCTCCTCCTCCGCGCCTGCTGGTTGAGGAGCAAAGTTGTACATGCATATGGTTGAGGAGCAAGCCCAGGTAAGAACGACCGTTGGTACGCGGCCTGCCGATCATGCGACACGACAGCGGCGGCCTGCGCGCGTGGGCTTGATCCCCCCCCAAGCGCCCCCCGAAGGCCGCGCACCAAAGGTCACGACTACCGCGCGCCCAGTGCCAACTGCCACTCCAGCGAGATGTCGCTCTGTCGTGCAGCGACCCGGAGTCCAAGCAGAACCCTCCCTCTCCTCCGTCCGCCCCTGGCCCCTGGGCTTCAAGACAAGCGCCCGTCGACGTGGCCCTCCTCTGGCCCGGCGACCTGCTCCAAAGACGAGCCTGCCGGCGCCTCGAGAACCTCCGCCCCCCCTCCACCTGGGATCCTCGCCGTTGCCCCTCCCCCGACCGAGCCCCCGCCCTCCAGACCGCTCCGCCCCTCTGGCGTGCTCTCCCCGTCCCCTCTGGCCTGCTCTCCCTCCCTCGCCTCGCCCTCCCCCCCCGGCCATCCTCTGGCCTGCTCCCCCCTCCCCGCGGCCGAGGGTCCTCGCTCGCCCCGGGCCGCCTGGCCTCTCCCCTGCCGGCCGTGCCGCCCCCCCCCCCCCCGCCTCTGCCGCCCGGGCCGCTCGACCTCGCGCCCCCGCGGCGCGCGACAGGCGCGCGGCGCGGGCCAAATCCCCGCGCCCTCGCGCCGCCCCAAGGGGCCGCCGGAGGCCCAGACGCCCGAGCCCGCCTCCCCGAGGGCCCTGGCCGTGGCGCACGGGGCGCGGCCGAGCCAAATTGTGGAGGTCGCGGCCCCAGAATTCCCGACCCTTTCCCCTCCTCCCCCTCCCCTCCTCCTCCTCCTCCTCCTCCTCCTCCTCCTCCTCCTCCTCTTCCTCCTCCTCCTCCTCCTTCTTCTCCTCCTCCTCCTCCTCCTCCTCCTCCTCCTCCTCCTCCTCCTCCTCCTGGAGGCGGCAGCCATTCGTCCCAGGTCCGTTTTGGAGGGGATCCGTCTTCGATGGCCCGGGGGCCCAGAAGTGCCTCCCAGGAGCCGGGTCGAATGAGAAACGCCGGGGCTGAAGGAACCGAGTATCGCACAGCAGCGCGAATCGGGTGCCTTTGGAGCGAGCTGGCGCTTGCTAGACAAAAGCACGGATTGATGGCTCGGCTTGGGCCGCACGTTGCTTTGACATTGCCAGTAAACCCTGGCTGGGACTGACAGAACATGTGGGAAACCTCGGAGGCCCAGGCCGCGGGGCGCAAGGCGAGACTTACCTTCGCGCCCATGCGCCGCCTGGTACTCCTGGAACCGCTGGCCGTCTCTCCTCTGGACTCCTCGCAAGGGGGCCGCGGCGTCGACGTCGCCGCCGCCGCCGTGGTCGTCGACGCGGTCGTCGTCGTAAGCGCCGTTGCCATCGTCGTCGCCGTCGTCGTGGTCGTGGCCGTCGCGGCCGTGGTCTCGATCATAGTGATAGTAGTCGTCGTCGATCCACTGGCGTGCCTCGACAAAAGTGTGCGGAACTTCTCTAAGTTGAAATCGCCGGCCTCCCCGGCAACCTCGCAGGGCAAGGGGGGCGGCTTTGCGCTTCAGGAAAAAAACAAGAATGGCGGCGGGCTGGGCGATCAAGAAGCTGCCTTATCCAAGCCCTGCTCCTTCCCGCGCTGCTGATATACGTCCTCATCAACCCTGCCCCTCCACATCCGTCTCGTTCCTATCGATGGTCATCCTCTTTTTCCCATCACTACCACCATCATAATCATCACAACCGTCATCATCATCATCATCATCATCATCATCATCGTCATCATCATCATCATCATCCGCATCATCATCATCAACAACACCATCGCCACCATCGCCATCACCACCATCATCATCAACAACATAATCACCGCCGTCGTCATTGTCATCGTCGTCAATATCATCGTCACCATCCTCGTCCTCCTCCCGCGCCAGGCTGGATGCAGGCCTGGGCGCTATCGAAGTTTTTCACGGAAGCAAGACGCCGCGCAAACTACGCACGGGCGGTCGCAAACCGCGCTTTGTGCCCGCGGGCGAGATGCACTCTTGATGGGAACACATCATGGGACGCACAGAGACATACTAATACTATATGTCCGCCTTGGAGGCGCGCGTCCGACCCGAACATATAGTATACCCATCTTATAATATATCGTTTCTCGAGCGGTGTGGCCAGAAAGCGCCCGCCACGACGCATATACTACAAGATTTCTCGGTGCGCGCGTCGCCCCTGGGGGGGCGACGAACACATAGTATAAGTATGTTCTGGGGACGCCGACATCATTGCCATCTCGCTCTGCGCGAACAGTTTTCCCAAATTCCAATAGCAGGTCATGTCCTGGCCCCCACACGAGCCACGCCTAAGCCCACAAATATGAACGGCAATGCTGCGAGCCGGAGGCGTGCGCGCTGTCCGGGATGGCCCGGCGCATCTAAGGCCACAGGCCGTCGACAACCTGCGTGTCTTTTTAAAGAAGATCATCTCGGTGCGCCCGCGCGGGCGCGGTCGACGATAGCCCGCTGTCCTTCATCGCGGGGCACTATGGTGTGAGACAGCTTCAGATACGGGTGATAAGGGTTTAACCGACTTCAACTGAAGGAAAGCCCCCAACCTGGTCGCGGCATGCAGCGCGGTTTCTTGCAGCCGCGGATCGGCGCGCTTGCGCCATCGGTTACAAGCGTAACGTTGCCCGTCGCGAGAACCTGAGAGAGGATCTCGTCGCAATCGGGCCCGCCGAGCGATGCGACCCCCTCCCCCGCATGTGCGCAGGCAAGTTCAGGCAGCTCGAAGAACATCGCCAACCGCCGCTGCCCCCGAGGGCACACGCACATAAATCGGCGATGCTATATCCGACGTCGCCCTGGGGGTGTTTCGTACACCTTTTGCCCGAGCAGTCCGACGGGCACTGTACGCGGCAAGCGCGCATTGATGCCTCGTCTGTTTCGATGAAGCACCCGCGAGGCCATCTAAACTTATCTTGTTCGGCCTGGGCAACGCGGGCGCAACAATTCCGCGCGACCCTTGCGGCGCGTTCAGCTGCCGCCCTTGCGCCGCCAACTCGCCCGACGACTCGTAGCCCGAGGCGCCTTGGGTTGCTGCGTGGGCGATGCGGGAAGAGCGCGGGCGGCGCTCACTGCAGCAAGGCCGGACAACTCTTTCACGGGGCGTGTCGGGTCGAACTTCGACTCGCGCATCTGGCGCTCCCAATTGGAACAGCGCCAAGCAAAGCAGCCCAGTTGGAGTATGGTGAAGCCCGCCGCGTGGCTGCCTTTGCCCGAGTGACTGCTCCGAAGCTGCCGCTGCTCTGCAGCGCGCTGGCGCGCTGCGCACTCGCCGCCCCCACCGCCACCAACTTTGGCAACCCGACAATCTCGACTGCGGCGCGCGCGAAGAGCTCGGGACTTTTGCGCGCCAGGTCGACCGGGGGTAGCCCCCTGAAAAGCAAGGGGCGCCCCGGGCCACAAGGCGGACTTTGAGTTTCTTTCGCCACCTTCGCCACCGATCTCCATTCGAGGACTTCTTGTTCACGTGACCCCCCGCTCGTCAGCGACGCCTGCGGAGGGGGGGGAGAAGGGGGGAAGAGCGGAAACAGTGGCCGAACCTCACCCAAACTTTGGACGCCCGAAATGGGTACGGAAAGAATGGGCACAATGCCCAACAACAAAAGTTGTCTCAAACCAACGGCGGCCGCTGTTTGGCAGGCGGCCTTCTGTCTCAAATGGACACAGGCCGCGGAGGCGCGGACAGCGACCCCTGTTCAAGATGAGCAAGAACTGCTGTTGGGCATTGTACCCATTCCTTCCGTGCCCATTCCAGGCGTCCAGAGCGGATGGGGGAAAAAGGGGGGAAGAGCGGAGACAGTGGCCGAACCTAACCCAAACGAACTGCGCACTCGATCGAACAGACGAGCGGGCCGGCGCCACCGACCCTTCGCCCTGGAACCCCCGCGCGCAACCTGCGACAACCGCTCTCTCGCCGAATCCTCCGCCAAGCCCGCTGCATGTGCTTCGTACCCAGGTCGAGCGAGGATGGTCACGGCGTGGGTTGCGTAGTCGACGCGAACAGGTCGCGCCGAATGGAAGCGTGCCCTGCCTCGATTTTCGCTGTGCACCGGCAAAGCTTTGTGCCAGACAACTGTTTGGTTGGCAGCGTGGCGCGCGCGGGCTGCCCCTTTAGGATGGCCGTCTGCACCTTGCGGGCCCGCTCGTGCCTGTCCGCCTCGGAAGACCTGCCACCGCGGGGGACAACGAGCAGGGGCGGCGAGAGCGAGGGGGGCTACAGGCTGAATGCCGAATCCCACCAGTCCTGTGGGCGTAAGTGGTGTACGTAACGAACTCTTGCCTTCTCTCTTCCTACGACTTTGCCTTCCCATGCTCGGGGGAAGGGTTTGCCCCCCCTCCCCCCTTCCCCCGGGTTTGGACGGGGCGCCCCGCGAGGGGCTCGAGCGCGCAAGATGGCCCAAGATGGCTCCAGGAGGCCCTCAGCGAACGCAAGATGGCCTCCCAAGTGGTCCCAAAAATCAAACATGGCGCAATACTATAGCCCCCGATACACATCTACGAAGCCTCAAATCGGCCCCAAGACGTTTTCAACTGCTCTCCGAGCCCTCCAAAACCTCTGAAGCATCAAGAATGGCCCCGAAACCTGAGAGGAAACACTTGTTTGCCTTCTCGTCTTTTCGCTTCCGATGGGCTTGGGGGGAGCCTCAGGATGGCCCCAAGATGGCCCAAGAGAGCCGCAAGAGGGGCCCAATAGGGCCCAAACAAAAAACCCAATACGCCCAAAATCGCCCCAAGGGGGATTGAAAACGCAAATGCTTGCCCCCAGGAGCCTCCCGGACCGCCGGACCCCCCCCCAAAAAAAACAAGAACAAAAAAACATGAGGGTCCCAAGACACCCTAAAAGAGCCCAAAAGAGTCCACACAGTGCCCCCAACAGGCTCCGCGAAAACCCCAGGAGAGACCCAAGATGGTTCCTAAAGGCATCCGAGAAACACCAAAGCGGCTGTTACGTTGCATGTTTCTACACTTCCCAAATGAAGGCAAATCGCCTGGCGATGCGTTTCTGGATGGGTTGGCTGGGATGCGCGAAGCGTCAATGATTGAAGCAGAACTGCTACGACAGACGAGCAGACGAGACAACTCCACATGTTTCACACGCCACGATGTTGCACTTTCTTTCTAGCCGCCCCACCCGCTCACGGACGGCCTCAATCGCGCATTTCCACTTATCTGGGCAACGTGCCCTCGATTTGTTCTCCTCTCAAGCGCCGCCGTAATAGGAGGCAGGGCCGTAATGGGAAGCAGGGCAGAATCGGTCAACAGATGTCGGGCTAAAGCGCTGCGCGCGCATGGTCAAGCATTACTA